GCTGTTTTTATGTTTTCTCTAGTTTTGTATGCCACCCAGAGTCCACTGGAGTTGGGCAGCCAATAAATTAATAATAATAATAATAATAATAATAATAATAATAGTGATAATAATGGTCTAGCAAACATTTGGTATATTTCTGTAATCCAACAGTTAAATTCAATTAACAGCACACTGAAGAAAGGGTTGGTTACTTGTTAGTAAGTGTTCTGGAATGTATAAGGCATGGCTCCAGGGATCAATATTGTTTTATAGCACTGTGTTGTTCCAAGTTGTTCAAAATAGGGCAAATACAAAACCTTGTGGTTGTAGAGAGAGGCTTGACAAGTGTGGCAGAAACAGGGAGCTTTTTGAGCTTGGAGGATTATGTTAATTTTCATAGAGATGGAACCTTCCTAAGGTGGCTGAGACCAAAGTATACTCCACCTACTAACAATTCCTGACTATCAGAGGAACAGGGATCTTTGCACGTGGAAGACTGCCGCTTCCCTGCTACTGTTGGGTGTAAGGAAGCAGCGGTGCACTTTAAACTCCCCCTGCAGCTGATCCTCAGCAGCAGCAGTGGAGGTGAGAGTAGGGTGGAGTATGGGCACACAGGCTGCCTGTATGCATTGTAGGCTCAGAAATCAGAGGGACTTGTGGAGTATTACCATTGTTCAGATCGGGACCTCAGCATCTTTTGGTCCCTGTTTTTGGATTTTCCTTCCTCAAAGTCAATTTCCCTCAATCTCAGCATCTTCTCTTCTCTTCTCTTCTCTTCTCTTCTCTTCTCTTCTCTTCTCTTCTCTTGACAGTTCTGCAAAAACAGGCAGAATACATCGTGTGAATCTGAGTAATTTAGCACAAACAGAATTTTTGGAAGTAGTCATGCAGTCCATAGAGAAAGATGAATGTTGTGTTGGGTAGTATTGCTCTGTATTTGAGACTGATATTGGCATGGATTGGAGAGATAATCAGCTGTGTGGTGTGGTCTCCTATCATGCTTTACTCTGGGATCCTTCTTCTCTTTGTAGATCTTCCCCCTGGTTATTCCTACCCTGTGGCTGGTCTGGGCTATGCATCACCATTTCCCCGGGACCCAGCTGATCCTGACACTATGCAAACTGTTTCTACAGCAGCTGAGCCTGAACAGTCACGCACCTTTCCACCAGAGCAGGAGCCACGCTGCGAGGCAGAAGCTAACCCACCCAGTGGGACTGGGGACTCTGAAGTGGAACCCACCCATGCTCACCCTCCACATCTCCTTGTCCATCCCCAGAGACCAAGCTCCACAGAGATGATTAAGGATACTCCAAGTTGCTCCCTGCTGGTCAGGGATAACTCAAATGACTTGGATTCTACCCAAAAAGAACATCAGGAGGAGCCTAGGTCAGATGCTGCCATGCTAGGACCTTCCCCAGAAGTGATGACTATGGAAGAGAGTCCTGCTGCAGCATTGGAAGTTGGCTGTCAGGAGGTTGAGAGCAATGCTGTCTTACCAGATGACCCATCAACACATACTGATGTACAGGTAGCACCATATGGCCTGGATGCCCTTATTGCTGCCAGCATCAACCTGGGTGAACTCCCAGACCTGGAATCCCCATCTTCTGCAGTTTCCTTTTCCTTGCCCTCTCCATGCAGCTCAGGGATTCCTGGCATTGCCCTGCTCAGTGAGCTGGCTGAACTGGAACGCTGTCAGCGGCACTGTGATTCAGGTAAGGAAACAAAGGGTCATCCTGTCTTGATTCCTTCCCTCCACCTGAGAGCAGGGAACAGTGAGGTGGAAAAATCAGCATTTACTTCTTGGCACCTGTTTTTATTGATATCTAAAGAGTGCTTGCTTCTTCAGCTCATGAGGCAGCCTCTCAAAAGATTGCACCTCCCATCTGAGGCAAAGGCAGGGCCAGATATCAAATGTCAACAAAGGAATGAGAAGCTCCTTTTCCCATACTCTAATGCTGCCTCCTGACTGGCCAGCATGGAATTGATAAAGGAATACTGCATGAAGACATGGTAATGAACTGGAAGTTGAACATTTGTTCATGATGTGAGGATTGTCTAGGGACTGGGACCAGAAGTTCTAGAATCTTTTCCCAGACCTTGGAAAAAAAATGTCCAAATTTGTCCTCTTGGGATATATAATAGATGATTTTGTATACATGCTAGGGCCTACTCCCCTGTTTCCTTCCATTAGCTTTTCAGTGTTGCATGGAACAGTTGGTAATCAAATGCTAGATTCAAATGCATGATGTATAGTTCTCCCTTCCCATAGGGTGTTACTCAAATAGCCCCATCCAGAGTTGTAGAGTTGGAAGGGATCCAAAAGGTCACCTAATCCTTTTTTTTAATGATAATTTTATTAAACATTACAATTTAAAAAAAATAATGCAACCTAAAGAAAAAAAAGAGTAAAAAGAAAAATAGTGCAGAAAAGAAAGAAAAAAATAGAAGGAAAAATAGAAAAGAAAAAAAAATAAGAACATAGTAAAGAAAAAAAAAGAAATATATAAAGAAATTACTTCCCCCTTCAACACAACAAATATAAACAATTTTCATAACTTATCATCTCTTAAAATACAACAAATGATCTCTTCTTCCCATATCTCATCTCTTACCTATAAACAAATCCTTAAAGCCTCATCATTCAGTCCAGGTCAGCAAAAGTCCATTAAGGGTTACCAGAGATAACAACATATTTATTTTAACCTTGATCAAAAAAACCAACTTTATATTCCTTCCATTTACTTTTAACAATCTTGATCTTTAATCCCTTCAAATAATGTCCTAGAGCTTGTTTTCATTTCATTTTTTCTTTGTCCCTTCTCACAAAATCCTTCAGAACTCTAACAGGTTTCTTTTGTAAATCCAATACAAGAAAGTTATAGGCCACACTTTTGGTTTGCCATTTGTATATCCATTTTAATTATTAAGACATCAGCCGGTTTCATTTGTATATCCAATGTAACACCTTTTTCCATATCATTCTTGTAGCTTGTCATTTTAAATTCACTTTCAGATTTCAAGTCTCAGTCTTGTCCAGTAAAACATGTTCTTGTTCCATAACATCTTTTAAACACAGTCTACCTATAATGGCAGATACTTTTAAGATTAACTTCCGGATCCATTGCTCACAAGTATCCTCGAATACATCTGGTGTTAACGTATTTTGCTCCATTCTGCGTTAGTAAGTCAAACTTAAGTGTTCTTCTCCTTTAATTGTAATCTTTAGTTCCTTCTGATTCCCTCTAGTGTCCAACGTTCAAATTTCCATCCTATCATATTTTTTTTTTAAGAATTCAAAACAACAGCATTTTCCCATGGGAAGCATTCTTATAATTAATTTCAAAATTTTATTTCAAAACCATCTGGATCCTTAGTCCATTTGTAACTTTCCAAAATCAATATTCTAATCCCCCTTTTGCTGTTTACTCCTATATATATATATATACATACATACATACATACATACCATACATACATATATATATATATACATACACACACACACATACACTTATAAATTTAAAACTTATAGATTTAAAAATTCTTTCACTAAGGATTAAAGGAAACTCACCCTGTGAATGCTATAAAACGTGTCAATCTGAAGGTTCCTAATAGTTGAAAAGCAATTAAGAAGTAATTCCAAAAGTGATTAAGAAATTAGGCTCAGCGGACTTTCTTAATATAGACTACGTTATGGCTTGAGCTTGGTTGAAATCTCTCGACTCCCAGCCACTCGATTCACAAGTCGACCACAAAAACCTCAGTTCCTATAGTCTACTCATGAGGAGCAGCTATCTGGAGTACATGTAAGCGATCTCACAATCTCTTCCAGAGAGACTCTGCCAGGCAAAGTGTGCTGTCTGGCCGCTGATCTCTGCCTCAGTGTTGTCCCTGCTCCATCAGGGATGTCTAGTTTGCCATGAGTCTTCACTGGAAGTCCCCAAAAGGTCACCTAGTCCAATCCATCATTGATGGAGAATATCTGCTACTACAACTATAGCTTCCAGATCCCTCCATTAGACATCTGATCATCACATATTGCTCTCAGGTACACAACTGGTTAGAAAGGAATTTCCTCTTTCCCTTTGAGAGAAATAGATCAAAGATTGTGTCATATCTATCCTAATCATACCATGACCCAGATTGGCTGAGAGATGGTTAACTATTCAGACAGGAGCTACTGCCTCTTCAATGCTCCCTACTTCTTTCTACAGAGAAACTGTATTCTTCCTTAGCACCCTGTACACTGATACCCTATTGTCTCACTCTGACTTTTGAGCCCAGCTGGGTTTACAAGGCCAGCATTTACCAATTGCATAATCTCTGGTATTATGAATAATTGGAAGCTGTGAGTTACTGTATATAAACAAAAATGGCACACAGACTCATGCAGGTCATTGTTTTAGATATACCATGTTACGGCAATATGGGCTCTTTTGAATGCCCAGTCCTTGGAAGTCCCACAAATCAATAGTGCACCTTTCAAAATTTTCACTAGCAAGGAGAGAATTGTCCCTCAGGCTACTTAAGCCTAGCACTAGGGAATCTAGTAAATTCCCACTTAGAGGCTGAATTTGGAGGATTGCCCAACAATCAAATGAAATCAGGTCAGATGGTAGAATTGTTACACTTGCCTAGAACCTGCTGATGGGGCAGAAACAATATCCTTCTTAATTCTAAAAGCTTAGAAAGCAAGAACCTTGGAGTCCATCACTGTATACTGCGTGTAGAAAGCAGGGGGATTTTCCCTGTGGGATTCTGAATTGTGAATTAATTTCGGATGGGGCTTGCTTATTATAAGCATCCTAGACTGGCCTATTACTATGAGGCCTTGTACGCTTGGAAACCTGGGGAACAACACATTCACCTGGTCTGTTACCAGCCTGGTTTTATTTTGATGTCTCCTGTTTTTAGAATGTCTTAGCTCTAGAGAAGTATTTCACATTCTCTGCTTACGAATAATAATGGTCATGCTAATGCTAATAATAATCACAACAATCCAATAACATTTGAGTAGTGAAAGTCCTCCTTTTTAGTCCCTACACCTTTCTGCTGCTGTTTCAAGCCTCCTACTTCCTGCCTCCCCAGTGGCGAGGTTTACACCAACCCACATATGCAGATGGTTATCACCCCCTGTGGCTAAGCGACGTCTGTGCTTTTCATCTGTACACCAACGGTTATTGCTCACGCACCAGAACCGTTCTTGCCCACAGTGGAACGGAAACCGCATACAAGGACTCCCCTATGTGCCTTCTCATATGTGTGTGCAGGCACTTTCACAAGCAGATACGCTTGTATACAAAGAGCAACAACCCATGAGGGAGAGGTGTATGAGTGTACGAGTCTTTAAAGAGATACACCCACACGTGCATACTGCAGTTTTTAAATCTATGTCCATGGTTACCCTTTTTCCATTTGCATATCTTCATGCAGAGGCAGGTAGCTGTGCTGCCCTTTCAACTCTCCCCATCTGAGCAAACGTTTCCCTCCTTCCTGAAAACTCCTCCTACTTTTGATGCTATCTCATGAGGCCCCTCTTTCCTTAAATTCTGACAATGCTAACTTCTGCTTGCTGCCCCTGGGCGCAGATGGGCTGCTCAGGCCTCCGGCTGAGGCATGTGGCATCCTAACAACTTTGCCTGAAAGGATTTCTGATGTGTGCCTTGAATAGACACAAACAGGGGCATGATGGTTTTAAGCTGTGGTCTGTGAAGAGCTTGCTGCTCCTCAAACGACCGTAGCTTACCAGCCAACCTTTTCTGTATCACGGCACTCTCTCAGCCCTTCATAGTAGAGGGGGAAAAGCAGCTCGGTGTGGCTGGGAAGAGGAAAGAGGGCCTTTCTAAGAGAGGGGCTAGACTGTGAGATACCACCAAATACACACAGAAGCCCAGGACACACATCTTCACCCAGTCACCAGGGGTTGCATATGAATTCAGAGGTGTTACAAGATGAAGCATTTATTTTTTTGTTTATTTTATTTATTTAGTTGAAATAGTTTGAGGGTCCTCTTTACAGGGCCTTTCATTTGCAACCCTCCTCAGTTTTCCTTCTGCTACTTCTGCCTTTTTCCTTCCTATGCAAAGATCTGCTAAGCAGCAAAAGGAGCCATAACTAAGTAACATCTTACGATAGATAGAGGAGGTATCTAGGAGCACCCCAAGAAGGCAGATGTGAGAGGAAGCACATTCAGCCTGGAAGCTCTGAATGTGACTGGCTCCTTTTATGTGGTAAGATAGAAAGCCCTAGGTGGGAAATGTAAGCTAATAAGTTATTACTGTAATAACCTGTTCTGTGGATGAGAACTGACTTTCTCCAACTGTATCTTTTTCTTTTTTCCACAGTGTTGGATGAAGACTTGGCAGCCTTCAATCTGCAAAGTCTAGCCACCCTTGCTGCTGCCTGGGCCCTTGTTGAAGCTGCTGGCTTTGAGAGCAGCCCACCTGACCTTCTCAGTCTGGCAGATGCCGCACCATGTGTGAATCTGCGCCCTCGCATGCGGGTCTCCCGACGGAAATACATCTGGACTCCTAAGACCAAGCCTGTAAGTTTCTTGCATTCAAGATGAATGATGAAGCTGGTGGAATGAAAGGTAACCCGCTAGCATTCCACTTTCGTAGCTGGACATAGTTTTGTGGTGTGTTCCTGAGCCATGTGCTCTCTGCTACTGTATACCACCAAAAATATTCAACTATCTCATTTAATGAAGGATCTCAACTTCCACAGCTAACAACTGAGACTTCACTGGTAAATTGTTCATACTTTGAGGGCTTCTCTTTTGTCCCTTAAGTCTCATTTTTGGGTGGGGGCAAGGGGAGCAAATTTATTTTTATTTTTTTATTTATCACATTTATATAGCATTATATAAATATTATATAGTGTTATATAAATATTAAAAATAATTTAATATTATTAAATGGTGAAACATTCATCATGAAGTCACAGTGCAAATCCCTCCCCTTTTGTACATGTGTTACAGTCATATGCAATGGAGTGGAGCTTGTGGTGTGACATTACAATGCATGTTTCATCATTCTGACACAATCATGGCTTGCTCTGGGTAGAGG